CCTGTAACCTCAGCACTTGGGACTGGCTGGAGTAGGAGAATTTCTGTGACTTCTAGGCCAGCCTGAACTACAGAGCAAGACTGTATCTCACTAAAAGTGAAAAGAAAAAGAATAGGTTGATGGATGGGCAGAAGGAACAGATAGATGATGAAACAAGTAGAGGAAATGATAATGATAAAATCTAAATGGTGGTTATACAGGTTTACTTTATGGCATTTCAACTTTTCTATGTATTTGAAATATTCTTACAATAAAATTGAGTGGAAAATAAGATTATAAGCTTTAGCAAAATAGTTGCATCATGAAGTAAGACAGGAATCAGAAATAAATAAAGATAGAAGGTGTTGGATACTATTCTAGATCTTAAGTAGAATAGTGTTCATTTTACTACTTTACCTCATTGCTTAAATATGTTCAAGCATTCTTTATTATATAATATTTTGTATAATAGAAATATGAGAGGAATGCATTGAAATTTGAGATATATTTAAGCAGTAATAATAATAATGAAGCACTATTTATTAAATTATATCCCAAGAAATCATTTCTTTTTTTATTTTTATTAACATTTTTTTCCTTTATTTTACATACCACACAGTTTCCCCTCCCTCCTCTCCTCCCATTCCCTCCCTCTGACTTCATCTATCCCCATTCCCCATCCACTCCTCCTCCCTCTCCATTCAGAAAGGGGCAGGCCTCCCATGGGCTTGAACATAGCACGACACATCAAATTGAGGTAGGACTGAGCTCCTCCCCCTGTATGAAGGCTGAGCAAGGTAATCCAGCATGGGGAACAGATTCCCAAAAGCCAGCTAAGCACTAGGGACAGGCAGGTCCTGATCTTACTGCTAGGAGCCTTACAAACAGATCAAGCTACACAACTGTCACACACATGCAGAGGGCCTAGGTTGGTCCCATGCAGGCTCCCTAACTGTTGGTCCAGAGTCCATGTGCTCCCATGAGCTCAGGTTAGCTGTCTCTGTGAGTTCCTCCATCATGATCTTGACCCCCTGGCTCATACAGTCCCCTCCTCCCTTTCTTCAGGAGGAGAACTCCCAGAGATCCTTTGTGTAAATGTACCACACTTTCCTTACCCATTCTTCAGTAGAAGGGCATCTAAGCTGTTTCCAGGTTCTGGCTATTATGAATAATGCTGCTCTGAACATAGTTGAGCAAGTGTCCTTGTGGTATAATTGAGCATGCTTTGGGTGTATGCCCGAGATTAGTTTAGATGGGTCTTGAGGTAGATTGATTCCCATTTTTCTGAGAAACCACCATATTGATTTCCAAAGTGGCTGTACCAGTTTGCACTCCCACCAGCAGTGGAAGAGTGTTCCCCTTACTCCACATCCTCTCTGTCATTAGTGTTTTTGATCTTAGCCATTCAGACAGGTGTAAGATGATATCTCAGAGTCATTTTGATTTGCATTTCCCTGATGACTAAGGATCTTGAACAATTCTTAAAGTGTATTTTGGCCATTTGAGATAAGAATTTTCTTTTTTAGATCCAAGAAATCATTTCTATTTATTAAGTTCTTTGGGCACATTGTGTGTCCGTGTCTGTGTGTGTCTGTGTGTGTGTGTGTGTGTGTGTGTGTGTGTGTGTGTGTGTGTGTGTGTGTACATGCACGTGCACACACACCTGTGTGCTCATGCACATATACATGTAAGTCCATGTATACTTGTGTGTGTGGTGGGCAGAGTTTGATGTAGGAATCCTCCTTTAACACTTCTCCACTTTATTTTGAGACTGGGTCCCCTATTGAACTTGAAGCTTACTGGTTTGTTAGACTGGCTATCAAGGTCTGAAGACCTACCTGCCTCTGCCTCCTGAGTGCTGGGATAAAGGGTGTGTGCCACCACACTGGACCTTTCATTTTCAGTTTTGTAAGCTTTCCAGGTTCTGTGTATTTCTCTATTCAATTCTTTTCCATTTTAACACCTTTCTTTCTGAGTTCCTGAAAATTGTATCTTCTGATCCTAAAACCTATTCTACAGCAGCAGTTACTGCACTAGGACACCCTGTACTCTCCTTCTAGGAATAGAATCTCTGGAGTGTTCTTTCTTTAGCAGAAACAATAGCAATGATTAAATTAAAATCAATATTAAGAATAACATAGGAATAAAAGTTAAGAGTTGGCCATGGCACAGAATCAACTAAGCAGGGCTCATAGGGGCTCACAGAAACTGAAGCTACAAACAAGGACTCTGTATGGGTCTAAGCTAGGTCCTCTGCATATACCTTATGGCTGTGTAACTTGGTGTTCTTGTGAGACTCCTAACAGTAGGATTGAGGTGGGGTCTCTGACTCTTTTACCTGACTTGGGGCCCTTTTCCTCCTACTGGGTTGCCATATCCAGCCATGATATGAGGGCTTGTGCCCAGTCTTATTTATCTTGTTAGGCCGTGTTTGGTGAATATCCCTGGGAGACCTGCTTTTTTTTTTTTTAAGGGAAACAGAAGAGGAGTTGATCTGGAGGGGAGAGGAGGTAGGGGCAGGGACTGGGAGGAGTGGAGAGAGAGGAAACTATAGGATGTGATGTATAAGAGAAGAATAAAAGTTTAAAAGAAAGAGAGAGTTAGCCATGGACACCCAGGAATGGGGTGGAATGAAGAGGTAAATGGAGATGACTGCATAAACCACAAAATACAGGTGCCTCACTGGCGAACAGTACACACATTAGTTAAGATTATTTTTCTCTTACTGCTTCTGTGTTTCACAAATTGGGCAAAAGTGATGACAGAACAAATCTTAAAATCAAGAAGCAAATGTAAAGAAAATCCTCATGTGTCATTATTTCTGTCATCTTTTCTCACTTTTCCATCATCAATATCCTTGTCTCTGTGAAGGTCTGTATATTATAGTAACATAACTAATTCCTAATGTAGGCCAGGCATAGGTAAATAATAGTTTCCAATCAGGCAGAAGGGAATATGCTTGTGGTTTTAATTATAGCATCACCCTATGAGTTTCCTTGGACAACTTATTTCCCTTTTGTGAATTTTGCTTTCTTAATTGATAAAACATTTATTAAGTTATCATAAGTTAAGATCCTATTATTTTATGTACCACTAAAAATACTACAGTTTTACTATTATGCAGCGTATTTCTTTATTATATGTATGTGCATTCTTTCGAATGCATGCCACAGCACACATTTGGAAATTAAGTGACAACTTGCTGGAGTCAGTTCTCCCCTTCTTCCATCTCATGCTGTCAGGCTTAAGGGGAAGGCACTTTACCTACTAAACCATCACACCAGTCCTGATTCCATGTTTCTTATTACATTCCTTTATCCTGTTACATCTTCTAATCCATGATGAATATACATCAACCCTTTGAATTTTTCTTTTATTGAAAGTAGATTTTTTTCACACAAAATTTTCTGATTACAGTTTCCTCTCCCCCTGCTCCTCCCAGTTTCTCCCCACTTCCCCTCCCATTTGAATTCACACCCCTTCTGTCTCTTGTGAGAAAACAAGCAAGTGTCTAAGGATACTAATAAAAGAAAATAGATTAAAAAAATGGAATATGACAAAGCAATCAAACAAGAAAAAGAGCCAAAGAAAAGGCATATGAAACACATTCACACACACACACACAGGAATCCCATAGATACCTAAAACAATAAGCTATAATACATACCCAAAAGACAGAGCGAGAGAGACAGAGAGAGAGAGAGAGAGAGAGAATGCCCTAACTACATTACAAGACAGAAAACCTCCAATGGTGCAGTTGCGTTTGTTTTGTGTTGATCATCTACTGTTAGGCATGGGGTCTACTACCAGTAAGAGTGGTTTGTTTTTCCCAATGAGACTCCTTTAGAGAAAATTAACTTTTTATTTCCAAGTGCCTATCAACTGGAGATAGTTTCTGGGTTAGGGATGGAGGCATATGTCTGCTTCTCCATTCAGCTCTAGGACCCCATCTGATGTAGACTCCAGCAGGCCCCGTGCGTGCTGCCTCACTCTCTGTGAGTGCAAATGTGAACCAGCACTGCTATATCTAGAAGGCCTTGATTCCTTAGTGTTCTCCATCCCCTTTAAGAAATCAGTAAGGCCAAGCATGGTGACGTACGCCTTTAATCCCAGCACTCAGTAGGCAGAACCAGGCAGATTTCTGAGTTTGAGGCCAGCCTGGTCTAAGAATGAGTTCCAGGACAGCCATGGCTACACAGAGAAACCCTGTCTCAAAAATCAAAAACAAACCAAAACAACAAAAGATACTTAATGTATCATACATAATTCCTGGAACATTGTAAGTGCTCTATTGGTTGAAATATTAAGGCAACTCCACGTAGTTCAAAGGGAGGTCTATTTTGTGGGGTAACTTACAAATGAAGGGATAGGTTACAGGGTCTGGGAAAGGTGAAGCGCAGTCCAGCGGTGTTCTCTGGAGAACTCTGCTCAGTCTACCTCCAGCGTCCAGGATCCAGGAACCAAGAGAGCCGGCACATCCGGATCTTGGGCCTTCAGGGCTCCTGTCTCGGCTCTGCCTTGTGTAGCGTGACAGTTACCGAAGCCTCAATGGGGGTAGTACTTCCAGGTCAAAGCTGGAACAGCTACCCACTACAGTGCTCAGTAATTGGGTAGCCATCATGTTGATGACACGTGATTTTCCATAAGCACTCAAAGGTTTGCTCATTGTTTAGGTTGTTCTTTGTGGATCAGAATCATAGTTCATTTTGATAATGTTTGTTGGTGGTAATATAATGAGTACTAATTTTAAAGTAGTGTAATGAAACAGAACATATGTGGTTGATGTTCAGAGGTAATTATTTTAATGGGTAGCACTTTGTTTTCAGTGAAATTTGTTTATAAACTATTGCTGATATTTCTTCCAGAAATAAATTTTAGTGTTATCGGTCTTTTCATTTACAGCAAATATCTTTTATGAAGAATACAGATCAACATGAATGACCTATCTCTGCACAAAAAGCTTAGTTAAATTCCATTAGTTATGAGACCATTTTAATTTTTTTCAATTTCTGTTTATGCAGGAGGCCGACAGTGGGGAGGAGGAATGCCGGTCACAGCCCAGAAGGTATGTTTGTTCATTTTATCTTATGGCATTTATGTAGGTATATCTTCCCTCTAAATCTTTTTGAATCTTGCTGAATTAGTTTGTCCTGGTTTTACAAGATGCTCCATTGATACTTCAAAAAAAAAAAAAGGGAACTGCTGGTTTGTGTAGTGACTCCCACCTGTAAATCTCAGTAGGCTGAAACAGGATAATGAGTTTGAGGCCAGCCTGGGCTATGTAGCCAGACCCTGTCTCAAAAGCAAACAAACAGGACTGGAGAGATGGCTTAGCAGTTAAGAGTGCTTGTTGCTCTTCCTGAGGACACAAGTTCAATTTCTAGCACCCATAAGGCAGCTCACAACTACCTATAATTTCAGTTCCAGGCATCTAAAACCTTTTTCTGGTCTCTGTGGGCACCCATACACATGTGGCTCTCTCTTCTCTCTCTCTCTCTCTCTCTCTCTCTCTCTCTCTCTCTCTCTCTCTCTCTCTCTCTCTCTCTCTCTGTCACACACACACACACACACACACACACACACACACACACACACACACCAACAAATAAATCTTTTTTTTTTAATCTAGGTAGGAGCATGAGAGATGACTCAGTGGTTAATATTATTGATTGCTTTTGCAGAGGACCCAGATTCAATTCCCAGAACCCATATGGTGGCTTACAACTGTCTGTAACTCCAGTCCCAGGGAATCCAACACCTCTTCTGGCCTCTGTGGGCAACAGCCACTCAAATGGTGCACAGACACATGCAGACAAAACCCATGCACAATTAAAAAAATTTTAATTTAAAAAATTATTTTTTAAAACTAGATAAAAACTATTTTTAAAATGAATAAATGGAACTGCTTTAAGAATCCAGTTACTGCCAGGTGCAGTGGTGCACACCTTTAATCCCAGCACTTGGGAGGCAGAGCCAGGTGGATCTCTGTGAGTTCAAGACCAGCCTGGTTTACAGAGCGAAATCCAGGACAGGCACCAAAACTACACAGAGAAACCCTGTCTCAAAAAACAAACAGACAAACAAACAAACAAAGAATCCAGTTACTAATTCAGAAAGATTTCAAATGGTTGATTGTTTTTCAATGATATGGAAGGCTAGTTTGGGCTAAGTTCTCACCAAGTCTCTTGGGGACTGGAGATGTAACTCAGTTGATGGAGTGCTTGCCTAGCATGCTCATAATTCTGGGTTTGATTCCCTGAAACTGCATAAACCAGGCATTGGTGGTCTACACCTATAATTGAAGCTCTCAGGAAGTAGAGGTTCAAGGCATGCTTGGCTAAATAGCTAGTTTGAGGTTAGCCCATACCACATAGGGAACCTCTGTCTGGAAAGTTCCAGCCATCACGTGTTTATATCCTCTAAAGCCAACCAAATGACGAGGCATTCTGAGTGATATATACAATGATATAATAAGCATGCTTATTATAAAAACACCTACCAGCTAAAGGGAGTTTTATCCAGCCATAAAGAATAAAATTATGTTACTTTTAGAAAAAAATGCATGAACTGGAAAGCTTCATGTTAAGCCAGACAAGCTAGATACATGAAGACTGTCTTGTGTTCTGCATTTGTGGAATCTAGATTTTAAAACTAAAATGTAGAAGTAGAAGGAAGAATGTTTGAGAAGAGGAAGTAAAGAGACAGGAGGGTAGAGCAGGGACGAAAGGAAGGAATATGATCACAAAAAATTATTTACATGTATGGACTATAATGATGAAACCAATTGTCTTGTGCAATTAGTGTATGCTAAGATAAATGGAAATAAAAAAATTCAGGTATTTGTTACTACTAATATACTATAACTTAAAATAAAAGTGTAGTTCCTTTTCTTTAGTAACTGAGGTTATTGGCAACATTTTTCCTGTCGTGACTATCATATAAATTTTGGTTTAAAGCTTGATTTCTCACTTTCTTAGGGAAGATTTGGCAGTAAAATCTCATTTTGCATAAGGCTAAGAGATGGAAAGAAATTCAGTAGACATTTTACCAGAAGCATTGTAAACATTACTCTCATTAGAATTTTAAAAAGAATCCAAAGCATTCTTATATTTCCTCATAGATCCAATCTAAAAATCTAAAGATCTCTGGGTATAAACTTGAGATTACTCAAGCTTTACATATTGTCTTGGAATTCACTGGAGTAATTTTTCTTCCAAAAGAATTACATAATTATAAAATAGTAAAACTCTAATATTGTATTTACAACACTGAAATGTCAAGCCATGAAAAACCATAAAGATCTGTTTTAAAGTTATGAGTAATAATTTTTTTAATATGACCACAAACCTCAGTTTACATGAAAAGGATAGTTGCACAAATAGGAAATGAAAGAAAAACCTAGTAGTCCCCATTTAAAAATAATTTGCCGTTCTAATTTCTTATCTTCAGTGTTGTTGCTAGTCAGTTTTTAAGTTTAATAGTCTTCATCTGACTCAAAGCAAAGAAACTTTCTTCCTTACAATTAAATGCTCTTGTAAAGGTTAAGTTTTGTGTCTTTGGCTACTGAAGATCACTCTGGTATTCTCTATCAATTACCATAAAATGAACCAGCCTTGAGTGCTTTCACTTGACATACCTCAACTCATCAGTCTGTAGACTCAAACGTGGTTTATAGCAGGAAACTAAGTAGTAAATTCCCTAGCTAGTAGAATAAAAGCCAGTTCCAAACTTTATTTTAATTTTAATTTTTAAGATTTATTTTGTTTTATGTGTTTAAATGTTTTGTGCATGTATGTAGGTGTACCAAGTGTGTGTGACTGGTACCCCATGGAAGTCAGAAGTACCCTGTGGAGATCAGAAGAAGGCATTGAATCCATTGAAACTGGAGTTACATGTGGTTGTAAACCACCATGTGGATGCTGGGAACTGAACCCTAGTCCTTTGCAAAAGCAACAAGTGCTCTTAACTACTGCTTCATCTTTCCTGCCCCAAATTATTTTTTAATGCATTAATAATCTATTTCAACCAAATGCATGTGTTAAGAAAGCCATGAGTAGCTGAGCAGTGGTGGCACACAGCTTTAAGAGGTAGGTGGATATCTGTGAGTTTGAGGCCAGCCTGGTCTACAGAGTGAGTGCTGGGACAGTCAGGGATACACAAAGAAACCCTGTCTCAAAAAACAATGAAGAAGAAAGAAAGCCATTAGTTAAATGAATTCTTTCAATGTGAGTACACAAAACTAGATGCCTATAAAAAACCATGGTCAGGCCAGGAATGTAGCTTAGTTGATATTTATTTGGTACAGTGCTTGCCTAGCATGCACAAAGTTTTGGGTTTGATTACCAGCACCATATAAACTGGGTATGGTGGCACACACCTGTATTCCCAGATGGGAACTTACCTTTTTCTTTTTGACTAGGTCTTACAGTGTAGACCTGATTGTCCTGGAACTCATATAGATTCACCTGTTCTGCCTCCCAGATACTGGAATTAAAGGCATGTGCTGCCATGTCTAGCTAGATATTTCTTTTTTTAATTATTAAAAAAAAATTTGAGACAGGGTCTCACTGTGTAGACTTAGCTGGCCTGGTACTTAATTTGTTGACCAGGCTAGCCTTAAATTCACAGAGATCTGCCTGCCTCTGCCCCCCAGAGTGCTGTAAATTTATTTTATGGATGTAGCTCAGTAATAGAGTACTTGCTTAAAATCCTAGGGGCCTGCAGGTTCCACCATCATCAATTCTACAGTCCAAAAATCTCATCCAAATAACATCACAATTAGGGATGGAGAGATGGCTCTGTGATTAAGAGCACTTGCTGCTCTTCTAAGGACTGTAGTTTAGTTCCCAGCACCCACATCAGGTAGATGACAACTGCCAACAATTTCAGCTACAGGGAGATATAATGCCATGTTCTGGATCCCAAGGACAACTGCACTCATGTACACATTCTCACACACACACACACACACACACACACACACACACACACACACACACATATAACACAATTTGAAATTGAAAGAGTATCTAAATAACATCAAAATCTGATATGAGTGAGAAAAAAGTATAATTCATTTTGAATTCAAACTTACTTCCATCAGTGATTTTCTAAAACAAGATTTATATACTTTGAAAATACAGTGGTAGCAGGCAGAGTATAGATAGACACATTTCTAAAAGGACAATCAGAAGGAAGTTAGGAGTAACAAGTCCCAGGAATAAACAGAACAGCAAGACAAATTCCATTAGATCTACCTATCTGTCTGTCTGTCTTTTTTCCATACAGGTCTTACTGTGTAGCCCTATCTGACCTAGAACTCATAGATCTACATGTCTCTGCCTCATGGGTGCTGGGACTAAAGGCATGTACCACCAGACCTTGCTAGGTCTTTCTCTTTTTTTTTTTATTAATTTTTTGGTTTGTTTGGTTTTTGATACAAGGTCTCACTATGTAGCCCTGGCTGACCTGAAACTTGCTTTGTATACCAGGCTGGCCTTGAACTTACGTCTGCCTCCCAGAGTGTTTTGAATTTATTTTTTTTAATTTCATATATGTTTACTGTATTTACATCATTTTCCCCCTTCCCTTTCTTCCCTCTCAGGAACCCTCCTCTCTCTCTCTCTCTCTCTCTCTCTCTGAAATTCATGGCCTCTTTTTATTATTATTGGTGTGTGTATGTGTGTGTGTGTGTGTGTGTGTGCGCGCGTGCGTGCGTGCGTGTGTGCGTGTGTGTGTGTGTGTGTGTGTGTGTGTGTGTGTGTGTGTCCTGCTGGATCCATTTAGTGTTGTGTGTGTGTGTGTGTCCTGCTGGATCCATTTAGTGTTGCTTGTATGTATATGCTTTTAGGGCCAACCACTTGGTATTGAATAACTAAACAGGTGCCTCCTCTCTGGGGAAGACTTTTTTGCCCTCTCTCAGCAGTCATTAATTGCCCATAGCTCTTCATCTAGCGGTGAGGCCCAGTGTGGTTTCCCCCAACTACGTTGTGTCAACTGATACTGTCATTGTTCAAGTCTTCTCTAGGCAGCCATATTGTTGATATTTCATGGGTGCAGCTTCCC